GTCGTCCGTTCAGGTTTGACCTCAGCACCCAGAAACCCCCACCTCGACCCTCGATAGTCCACATGAAACTCACCATGAATAACCCTTATATATTGCAAAGGACGCCCGTACCAGGTTTGCAAATCGCCACTCGGCAGGGGAGTGGCTTGGCAACAAGAGGTTGCGTCAACATGGCACAAGTGTCGTCCGTTCGGGTTTGACACCAGCACCCACAAACCCCTACCTCGACGGTAGTCCACACGAAGCTCACCATGAAGAACCCTTGCTAAACTTTTACCATTCGTGCTTGCGGGACACCTGAACGTAAAACCCTCGTAGAATGTCCCAAATGCACAGGACGCCCGTACCCTTGCCGTGATTCTTGAAAGATTTGCAAATCGCCACTCGGCAGGGGAGTGGCTTCGCAACAGGACGTTGCGTCAACATGGTACAAGTGTCGTCCGTTCGAGTTTGACCTCAGCACCCACAAACCCCTACCTCGACCCTCGATAGTCCACATAAAACTCACCATGAATGACCCTTATATATTGCAAAGGACGCCCGTACCCTTGGTGAGTCTTGAAAGGTTTGCAAATCGCCACTCGGCAGGGGAGTGGCTTCGCAACAAGAGGTTGCGTCAACCTGGCACACGTGTCGTCCGTTCGGGTTTTGACCCCAGCACCCACAAACCCCTTCCTCGACCCTCGGTAGTCCACACGAAGCTCACAAGAACCCTTGCCAAACTTATGCCATTCGTGCTTTCGGGATACCTAATCGTAAAACCCTCGTAGAATATCACAAATGCACAGGACGCCCGTACCCTTGCCGTGATTCTTGAAAGATTTGCAAATCGCCACTCGGCAGGGGAGTGGCTTCGCAACAAGAGGTTGCGTCAACCTGGCACACGTGTCGTCCGTTCGGGTTTGACACCAGCACCAACAAACCCCTACCTCGACCCTCGGTAGTCCGCATGAAGCTCACTATGAAGAACCCTTGCTGTGCCATTCGTGCTTGCGGGATACCCAATCGTAAAACCCTCGTAAATTGTCCCAAATGCAAGAGACGCCCGTACCCTTGGGTGATTCTCGTGCATCGTTGTAAAGCAGCAGCACCCTGTTCAGGCGAAGCCATACCTGCCCGAAGAGGACCGTTTGGGTGCGCAGGTTATTTTCGGTGCTTTAGGGATTCGTGTTTGGGGTGCAGGGTAGATATTGGATTGGACCTGAAACACTAAACCCTAAACCCTAAACCCCAAACCCCAAAACCTATCAACCAAGCACCCAAGGTCAAAACTAGTGGAACCGCGACTTTGGTGTAGCATGCGGGGATCAATGCCACCATGAGGGGGAGGGGGTTCGCCAAATTGATGTTTTTTGACTCTCTCTCTCTCTCTCTCTCCCTCTTCCTTGATGTAAATTCACTTCGGGGCATAGGAGACTTTACTCTGTCTCTCTCTCTCTCTCTTTCTCTCCCCCTCTCCTGCATGTCTCGTAGAAACAAACGTGGTTTGGACTATTGGACTTGCTATGCTTGGGGAATGAGGAGTCGGAAAGCAAGCATGATCTCACAACACCCTGGCCCGGGCACCACCGACAGGGTTTGGGTTTAGGGCTTAGGGTTTAGTTAGGGTCTTAAGCCCTCCCGCAAAGCTCTCAAAGCACCAACATTGCAAGCCTCACATGGAGACAGGGCCACTGAATGTTGAAGGAATCGGTAAAGCTCCACGAGACATCTGCAGGTCCGTCGGGTCCCGTGTTCAGGGTTTAGGCTATGCCGATTATACAGCAGTATTTTGTGTTGTTGCCGGGCGGAAGTGCTCAGGGCTTCAGGTAAACATGGTTCACCTCTCGTCCCACGAATGTACCACGGCAGCTACGGCTAGGTTTATAAACTCCTCGGCTTATGACCTCCATAGCTTCCGGTATTATAAATCTACATATTTGTATATATATATATACACACATGTACGCATTTATGTATGCATGTATGTATGTATGTATGCATGTATGTATGTATGGATGTATGTCTGTATGTCTGTATGTCTGTCTGTCTGTCTGTCTGTCTGTCTGTCTGTCTGTCTGTATGTATGTATGTATGTATGTATGTATGTATTTATGTATGTGATGTATGTAAGGCATGTAATGCATGTAGTGTATGTAATGTAAGTAATGTAAGTAATGTATGTAATGCATGTATGTATGTATGTATGTATGTACGTATGTAGGTATGTAGGTATGTTTGTCTGTATGTATGTATGTATGTATGTATGTATGTATGTATGTATGTATGTAATTGTGTATGTATGTATGCGTGCGTATATATACAGCACTTGTATGAAGACAGATAAATAGCTTTGCATTTACCATCCCTACAAACACCCCCGCTTAGGCCTAATCCCTGAACTCCCACCTTCTTTCTGTCTACCAAGCATGGACTTCAAGCAGGAACGAGCAGGACATGCTGAGACAGACCGATAGTTGTAGAGCAGCAGAAGCAGAAATGCTCGTCGTTGACGCCGTGGCAATAGTAGTAGTAGCAGTAGTAGTTGTCGTCGTAGTAGTAGTTAGCAGCAG